CATTTTTAAGCAATAAAGTTTTTTGTTTCTTTGCTTTGTTTTTTTGTAGAAATGAGGTCAGGGTCTTGCTTTGTTGTCCAGGTTGGTCTCAAACTCCTGGCTTCAAGTGATCCTCCCACCTTGGCCTCCCAAAGTGTTGAGATTATAGGTGTAAGCCACTGCACCTAGCTGCAATAAAGTATTTTTAAGTTAAGATATGTACTTTTAAAAGACATAATTTATTGCACTACAGTATAGTGTAAACATAAATTTTATTTGCACCAGGAAACCAAAACATTCATGTGACTTGCTTGTTGTGATATTTGCTGTATTGCAGAGGTCTGGAACCAAACCTGCAATATCTCTGAGGTATGCCTGTGTGCTTCAGATGTATCATTCTCTAGAAAACTTACTTTTATAATCAAGTGCTTGTTCCTGAGGGACATACTAATAAATGCATGAATTGGCTTAAATCAGGGTAACTGAGACTTTTAGTACTGAGGACTAGTCAAAATTCCTTCTTAAATGTATGTCATTCTCCTGAAGGTTTAGAAATTCTTTAAATGTAACTCTCAAATCTGCATTTGGCCTCGTTCAAAATCTACTCTCCCTAGATTTAAGTGGAAATTATACCTTTATTGTCACCAATACAAGTTCAGGTGGAAAAGGAGGTGACTTATGGAAGGCATCTACTCACAGGACATTCCCTATATGAATGTCATAGGAGATGCCCAAGGCCCATGACTCTAGGTGTATTTCTGGGAATAGGGGAGCTGCAGACACTTAATTCTGGTTTTGGAATATTGTCACTTCTAGCCCCCTTTTTTGGTCCTGTATGAAAAATATGAGCAAGCAGAAGACCCACAGAATCATTTTGGAGAAATATTCAGTCCCAATAAATAATTGTCAGCATAAGCTTATATGTATGAATATCTCAACAAAACAGCTGGGTTCCTATCTAAAGACCCATCAGACAAAAGAAAAAAACAAAAATTATAGACATTATAGTAAGAGTGTCATAAGAAAAAAGACACCAAAATGATAATAATAAGAAATCTTGGGTGAAACAGATTTTGTATGGAAAAATATTTCAAAAAGAAGGACAGCAGTAATAAAAATTGTCAGAGAGATACAGGTAGTTATCTTGGTCAGCTTGAGCTACTATAACAGAATATCATAGACTGGATGGTGTATAAACAACAGAAATTTATCTTTCATTGTCCTGGAGGCTAAGAAGTCCAAGGTCAAGGTGCCAGCAGATTCAGTGTCTGGTGAGGGCCTGCTTCCTTGTTCATAGACTGCTGTTTTTGCTGTGTTCTCCATGGCAGAAAAGGTGAGGGACCTCTCTGGGACCGCTTTTGTAAGAGCACTAATTCCATTCATGAGGGCAGAGCCTCCCAAAGACCCCACCTCCAAATACCCTCAATTTAGGGATTAGATTTTAAAATATAAATTTGCGGAGGGATGGGGAGTGGAACACAAACATCCAGTTTATAGCAATACACCATGCACATATAAGCCTATAATTTTATGAAAAAGGAATAATCACTGAACAAGAAAAAACTCTTGGAAATTAGAATTTTGATGGAAAAAATAAATAATTTAATAGATGGGTTTAAAATGCATAGTAAAATCTTCCAGAAAGCAGAAAAAAGAAAGAAGCAAGGAGATTAACAAATTATAAAGATAGAAAATCAACAGAATCAATATATCATCATTAAATTGACAAATTAATTGGAATACTGGAAATATCTACATCTATATCTCTGTATGTCCCCAGAATTAAAGGACATAAGAATCCAGTTTGAAAGGGTCCATCATGTACCCAGTGCAATGAATAAAAAAGGATATGCAACAAAGCACATTTCCATCAAATTCTACTATGTTGGGGAAAGAGAAAATTAAAGGACCCTTGGAGAGAATGGAGGGACATTTTCTGAATAAAAGAACGAGAAATAGAGTGATATTAGTCTTCATTGTAACATAGGGTTTCTAGATTTAGTAAAAAAAAATACAGGACACCAAGTTAAATTTGCATTTCATACGAATAACAATTTAGTGTACGGTTATGCCAAATATTACATGAGATATAGTGAGAAATATTCATTTCTCATCTGATTCAAATTTAACTGAGCGGTCATCTTTACCAGCAATCCTGCAGTAGAAGCACTGGATCTAACTCTTCTGTATGATTATGAAAGTAGACTTTCTTACCTTTTTGCTCCTCTAAGAAATAAGAAAAAAACAACACAGAGAAATAAAAACAGAGCAACAGCAGTAAAAACAAAATACCTGGTCTGGTATTTTTAGTGATGTAAGTGACCGAAAATCTCTACAGAATCCAAAGACTTTTAAAAGTTGCTGTTAGAAGTTAAATTGGGCAAAAATGCAAAGAGAATGTCAAGGTACTTTATGAATGGTAGATCTCAGTGAGCATCAACAAAAGTATACTTCCTGAAAATGAAACCACCTTTGCAAAAGTTATAACAGTGAGAAAATGTTGACAGTGGAGGGGATCTGACCTAACCAACTCCATTTGGCTTCTAACCTCCAAGCTGCCCTTGCTCATTCCTGGCCAAAGTTCAAGAAAAATATTTCAAGACACGTGTCTTCCACCTACCTTGCCAGCTACTTAAGTGTTCTTTTGGTTTATACCAAACTCCCAGAAGGTATGAACCTTGCAGATATTTGCTTACCCCTTGTAAAATTACTTTCATTGGAGGTAAACTTAGTGGTATGCCCTTGAGTTTTTATTGAAAATCATTGTAAGACGAGATTTATGTGAATTAAGATATGCTTAAACCCACCATGCGACAGATACCTGATATACATTGCCTCATTCAAATCTAAACTTTGTGAGTAAGTGGTATCATCCCTATTTTATAATTAACTAAACTGAGATAAATAAAATGGTATTTTGTCCAAAGGTATGGTGTTTGAATGTGTCAGAAACAGAAGTAAAACCCAAGTCTATGCTATTTTTAGTCTAGAACAATAGTCAACATCTTCTACATTTGCTGTAAAACAAATATGATTGACCATTGTAAAATTTTACATGATATTCCTTATTAAAATTTCCTCCAGAATTTAATGCAGTAAAACCTTTATTTTGCTGAGCAACTTCTTGCATCTTCGTTTCTTTAATAAAATATGTAATTTGCCTGGGTACAGCGGCTCATGCCTGTAATCCCAGCAGTTTGGGAGACCGAGGCGGGTGGATTGCTTGAGATCAGGAGTTTAAGACCAGCCTGTCCAACACGGTGAAACCCTGTCTCTACTAAAAATACACAAGTTAGCCAGGCATGGTGGCGGGCATCTGTAATCCTAGCTACTGGGGAGGCTGAGGCAGGAGAATTGATTGAACCCTAAAGGCAGAGGTTGCAGTGAGCTGAGATCACGCCACTGCACTCCAGCCTGCCTGACAGAGCATCTCAAAAAATACAAATAAAAATAAACTATGTAACTTATAACTTTTACCTCAGAAACTCGAATTTAACTCAGTCACAACATCTGTATTAACCAGTATAGTAGTTCCTTTGCAAACTGCTGCCAATATTTCTTCTTTTGGAAATCAATGGTATATAAATAAACAAGTATAAATATACACTCATGCAGACATGAACACAATCAAACTGTATCAGAGGAATTGATATACACATAATACTACTTAATACTAGTGAAAAAGAGGTGCCAAAAAATAGGTTCAGATACATTGTTGCAATATTAAAGATGCAAAGAGGTAAATTTGGTTTTTCAAGTGGATGGTTGGCTTGGCCCTCTTCCAAGTTGTACTTTCCTTCTTTTCTTTCCTTTCCTTCCTTTCCTTCCTGTTCTAAATAAAGCTTTTGAATAAACTTGCACTCCCGCTCTGAAACTTGCCTTGGTGTCTCCTTCTACTTTATGCCCTTCCGTTGAATTCCTTCTCCTGAGGAGGCAAAAATTGAGGTTGCTGCTGACCCCTATGGATTTGCTGGGAGCAATTCTGAAGACTCCTGTGTATAGATGTTAAATAAATTTGTATGCTTTTTCTACTATTGATCAATCTACCTCATGTTAGTGATGTAACTGCCCAATGGGCTCACCTTGCCTGCTGCCTAGACAGAGCCAATTTATCAAGACAGGGGAATTGCAATGGCTAAAGAGTAGTTCACAGAGATCCTGCTGTGTGGGAGACCAGAGTTGTTATTATTCACATCAGTCTCCCGGAACATTCGGGATCAGAGTTTTTAAGGATAATTTGGCGGGTATAGGCTCAGAAAGTGGGGAGTGCTGATTGGTCAGGTTGAAGATGAAATCATAGGAGGTCAAAGTGAGTTCTTGCTGAGTTCTGTTCCTGAGTGGGATTGCAGAACTGGTTGAGCCAGATTGTTGGTCTGGATGGTGTCATCTGCTGCATCGTTGTCGTAATGCAGGGTCTGCAAAATCTCTCAAGCACTGATCTTAGGTTTTGCAACAGTGATGTTATTCCCAGGAGGAATTTGGGGAGGTTCAGACTCTTGCAGCCAGAGGCTGCATGGCCCCTGAACCGTAATTTCTAATCTTGTAGCTAATTTGTTAGTCCTAAAAAAGCAGACTGGTGGCCAAGCAAGAAGGCATTTTTTGGGAAAGGGCTATTATCAATTTTGTTTCAGAGTTTAAACTATAAATTCTTTCCCAAGGTTAGTTAGGCCTATGCCCAGGAATGAACAGACAGTTTAGAGGTTAGAAGGAAGATGGGGGGGGGTTAGGTCTGATCTCTTTCACTGTCATAATTTCCTCAGTTACTATTTTCACAAAGTCGGTTTCAGTTATTTGTAGCAAATCTTTACGGGATCAAGAGCCCATGACATCCACAATAACTCACGGCAGCCTTGACCTCCTGGGCTCAAGTGATCCTCCCACCTCAGCTTCCCAAGTAGCCGGGACTACAGGCACAGGCCACCATGCCCAGCTAATTTTTCTTTCTTTTTTTTTTTTTTTAAGTAAAGACAGGTTTTGTGATGTTGCATGCCCAGCCAAGGACTTTGCTCTTTTGTTTACAGGTCCTGAAGGGCCTGGGAAATGCAGGGCTGGTGACAGAAACCCTTCCAAATTCAGCTTGGATCAGAGAACTAGAGGAAGCAAGGATGCACAAAAAAATTTCCCAGAAAAGCCATACCTGTCAGGATCACTGGTCTCTGTGACAGCAAAGAAAGGGCCTTTGCAAGGTTTAAAGCCCAAAAGAAGACCCTGGAGTCTCCTACCATCCATGAAACTGCCCGTAAATTGCTGGTCCAGGAAAAACTATGTCACCAAACAATAAGTATTCAAGAAAGACTATAGCGCAGCATCAATACAAAGATTTTATAAGAAACAATTCGATAAAGCTGGAAAAATGGATAAATGCATGAAAACATTCACAAGAAGGATGATGTCACAGAACTAGCGAATGCTGATCATATCATATATCCACCACAAGGTAAAGTTTTTAGTGAAATGATCACCTCTGTATAGGAAAATCACAAAACACACATGTAGGAACTCATGTGTTAGTAAGTTTTTTCTTTGGCATTTTGGCTGAACTAACTTTGGACTGAAAATGTATTTCTTATTCAGAGAACATAAAAATATTCTTGTATTTAACATTTTTTTCATCTGAGTCCATTTTTTGCTTTTCATTCATCTGAAAGTTTCTATGTAATATGACTCGAAGTAGGAATATAACAATATTTTATATTTATTAGTTGTCTCAGTATCATTGAATAAACCTTCCTTTCCCTACTTATTAAAGATTCTGCTTTAATCATATTCTTAAGTCTTATACATGTGAATACATAATATATGTATATATAGACACCTACGTGTATATTAATTGCTTGCTGGGTACTGTCTTCAGTTTTATTAGTTTTCTTATTTTGTAACTCATTTAGAACCAATTTACAAAGATGAATCAAAAATACATTTATTCTATTATCTATAAAGATGTCAACATATTTCAAAATACATAAGACCATACAAGTTCCAGTTGAATAATACAGTTATGTTTTGCCAAGGTAATTTTATTTGCCTTTATTAGGCAAAACTTACATTATCAAGTAGCATTTTAAATAAAGCAAATAGCATATATCTTAGTAAGATTATCTTTTTTCAATAAAAGTATTAAATGTATTTACTTTCCTGGATGTTGTCTACATAGCCTACATAGCATGGCTCTTTACAAGAAAAATTAGTCAGAGCTACATAGTCAAATTGTAATGGTAATGCCTTAATGGATGAGTGAAAAAGCTATTAGCCTAGAAAAAAATTTTTCCTAATTTTTATAAATTACAAAAGAAACAGGAAAATAACTTTTATCTTTTCAATGGGATTTATTTATGTTTAAGTAAAGGTAGCAAATGTTACATAAGTTGTTTCCTTAAGAACATTTATTTTGTACAATCACATTGTTATCAAGCAAGACTTACGGAAAGTTTCCTGGGTCCACAACACTGAACTTTGAAACTATTGTAGCATCCTCTTTTCCAAGTTTAAACATGACTTTGTGCACTGAAGAAGTATGGCTTCGCATTGCAGAGTGGTCACATGTGACAACCTGACACCAAGCGAGAAGCCTTTTGATGAAGTATGTTTTATCTTTTGTTGAGTTACAAAATGGTACTTTCATGTGTGTGATTATCAAACTCATACTTTTTTTTCAGGTCATTTCTCTTCTGCTATAATAAAAATAAACCAGTTAAAACTAAGCAGTATAGCAATGTAATCGACCAACTATCTATCAGGTTATATCTTATATAGGATATTTTAGGTGATATTGATGCTTTATATTACACATCTGTATTTAATATACTTTGGGCAATACAAAGTTAGAACATGTCTGGTAGATAAACAAAAAGATTTCCCTGAAAATTGACACATTGTTTTAACAATCACAAAAACTTAGGTTTATTCTTCAGAAGTGTGGTGGAATTGTTTAATATTAAAATAAAACATCTTGCTGTTGTCATTTTTTTCATATTCCTATTTTATACATTTTTAGATAACAGAATAATCCCGTAATTTTATTGCTAAAACATTATTACTTGGTTAGACATGATTATCAGATTTTGAGGTGACTTTGTTGTTCCCATATTTGCCAACACTAATTATTTCACTGTTTACTTTTGCAAACATGTGCTTATGCTAAAGATCCAAAAACTATAATGGGAAGTCATTGGTAATAATCAATGTACAATGATTGGTTAGGACAATGACTAATCTTATGGGCTGAAGTTTTGACTGCTATATGATAAGAGCTCTGCCTATCCTGTTAAACTAACTGTACAGAGGGGTGTTTGGGGATTGGGAAATGCTTATTTCCAAAGAAACCATATTGCATGCTTATTTGACTGGCAGAAATTCTCTGGTTTGATGCATCACTAGTACTGAGGGTGGAATCTACATGCAGCTTCTTCAGCAAGCTTGTTGGTCCCTTAGGAGAGCTCAGCAGTGTTACATATGTCTTACAGCCTGTCACTGCACATGTCTGTCCTTGCTCACTGCCAGGAAGGCTGCAGATTCTCCAACAAAATCCAGTGCTAGATTTAGAACTGAAGGTGCTTTGTTTCAGATACCTGTAATACCTATAAAAAGCAAATTTCAAAGAAATACAAATTTATGTTAACATTCTCATAGTATTTTAACAGTTGTATTAGTTATTCATTTTTGTATATACTACAAATCTGTATTAAAAATACAAATTGTTGAGGGACTCTGGTTCCAAAATAGCAGTGTAGAAGCAAGCTGGCTTCACTCCCTATCACAGAAAACCAAAAACAAACATACAGTGCCAAGATTATCACCAGCAATATCCCAGAACTCAAGTAAGAAGATGAAACAGTTTCCCAGGCCACAGAGAAGTAAAAAATAAAAATAAAAATAAAAAGCTCCAAGCAGGTGGTAAGAGATTCAGGCTTCCTTATCCATAATCCTCTCCCCTAATATCCCCAGCATCAAGCACAAGGAAAATTTCTTTCTGACTCACAATTTCTACACTGCAAAAAGTGAGATCAAGGTGGACAGTGAACTTCCTCATCATCTTGATGCACCAAATCAGAGTGCCTGTTTAGCAGCAATACACTGTAAGAGGTGTGTTCCACAGGTCCTTTGAGCATGGACCCCTAGCCAGCCTTTTCACATAACCAGGATATCCTCTTTGAGACAGCCCCCATTCAGGTCAGGCAGCACTCTGATTGTTGGCTAGAACTGAGGCAAACCTGGGCTTAAGGCACCAGTTAGTGCCAAAAAGGAGGCAGTGACCTAGTTGGGAAAAAAGACAGAAAATCAACTGGTATATTACAAATAAGCAAGCATATCCAATAAAAACCAAAACAAGTCAGACCAAAAAGACAGAAGTAAATAACTAGTCTTTCAATGCAAAGTCATAGATGTAGATCCACAAGAAATAATAGCAAACAAGCAACAATGACCTCTTCATACAGACAAAGAAAGAAATCAGTGACTGACCCTAGTGAAATGGTGATATGTGAACTCTCCGACCGAGAATTCAAAATAGCAGTTTTAGGGAAACTATGTGACCTCCCAGGAAACAGAAAAGCAATTCATAAATTTATCAAAGATATTTAACAAAGAGATAGGAATAATTTTAAAAAATCAAACAGAAATCTTGGAATTGAGAAATACATTTGCTGAACTGAAAAATTCATTAGAGGCTCTCAACAGCAGAATGGATCAAGTGGAGAAAATAATCTGCAAAATCAAAGACAGGCTTTTTGAAAATATACAGTCAGAGGAGCAAAAAGAAACAAGAATGAAGAGGGATGAAGGTCACCTTCAAGATACAGAAAATTAACTCAAAAGACCAAATCTAAGAATTATTTTTATTCAAGAGGGAATCACACAAAAGCAAGGATTAGAAAGCGCTTTTTAAAAAATAGTAACAGAAAACTTTCCAAAACTTGAGGAAGAGTTAAATATCCAGGTACAGGAAGGTCAGAGAACACCAATCACATTCAACCCAAATAAGACTACCCAAAAGCATGTAACAAATTCTCAAACATCAGGGACAAAGCAGGATTCTAAGAGCAGCCAGAGAAAAGAAGCAACTAATATATAAAGGAATTCAAACTCACCTGGCAATAGACTTCTCAACAGAAGCCACACAGGTCAGAAGGGAGTGAAACAACATTTTCAAAGTGTTCAAAGGAAAAAAAAAACAGTCATCCAAAAATACTGTATCCAGCAGAGTTATCTTTCAAATGTGAAGGATATATAAAATCTTTCCCAGAGAAACAAAAGCTGAGAGAATTCACCACCAACAATCTCATTTTATAAGAAATCTAAAGAGAGCTCTTCAGTCTGAAAGGCAAAAATGCTAATGTGCAACAACAAAACATCTGAAGGTATAAAATCCACTGGTAAAATTAAGTATACAGACAAATCTAAAATTCTCTTAAACTGTAATTGTTGTTTAAAATCCACTCATAACACCATTACGAAGCTCAAAAGACAAATCTATCAAAACAATAATATCTACAGCAACCTATTAAGAGATAGGCAATATAAAAACATGTCAATGAGACAACATAAAGTCAAAATGTGGAGTGAATGCAATTAAACTGTAGACCTAAAAAAACCCTTTATACAGTTTTTAAAAACTTATTTGTAATAAAAATCACCATCTTTTAAAAATAATTTATGTCTATATTTTTACAAGCTTCATAGTAACCACAATGCAAAAACCTTTAATAGATTCACTAAAAATAAAAAGCAACAAATTACAACATATTACCAGAGAAAATCATTTAACCACAAAGGAAGACAAAAGGGAAAGGAAAAGAGGAGTTAGAAAATATACAAGCTACAAAATAGCAGTAGTAAGTCCTGATCAATAATAATACTGAGCCTAGGCAACATAGTGATATCCTAGCTTACGAGCTAGGTGTGGTGGCACGTGCCTATAGTCCCAGCTACTCAGAAGGCTGAGGTAGGAAGATCACTGGAGCCCAAGAAGTTGAGGCTGCAGTGAGCCATGATCACACCACTGCCGGGACAAGAGTGAGACCTTGCCTCAAAGAAAAATTATAACATTGAATGTAAATTGGCTTAGTTTTCCAATTAAAAGGTATAGGATGGCTGAATGGCAAAGAAACAAGACCCAACTGCATGTTGCCTGTGAGAAAGTCACTTCACCTATAAAGACACACATCGATTGAAAGTGAAGGTGTAGAAATAGATACGCTATGCAACTGGAAACCAAAAAAGAGCAGAAGTAGTTATATCAGGTAAAACAAGTACAAGTCAAAGACTGTTAAAAGAGACACAGGAGGTCACTATATAATAATAAAGGAGTCATTTCACCAAGAGGCTATAATAGTTAAAAGTGTCTATGCACACAACACGAGAGCTCCCACGTATATAAAGCAAACATTAATAGATCTAAAGGGAGAGATAGACTGCAATATAGTAATATTGAGGAACTTCAACACCTCACTCTCAATAATGGACAGATCCTCCAGACATAAAATTGACAAGGAAACACTAGAGTTAAAGTATACAATAGATCACATAGGCCAAATGATATTCACAGAATATTTCACCTAACTGTTATAAAATACACATTGTTTTCATTAGCACATGGCACATTCTCCAGAAGAGGCTATATCTAGGCCACAAAACAAGTCTCAATAAATTCAAAACAGTAGAAATCATATCAAGTATTTTTTATGACCACAATGGAATGACACTAGAAACTGATAAGATGAGGGTCTCAGAAAATGCACAAACACATGGAAATTAAATAACACGCTCCTGAATGACCAATGAAGTAATTAGGAAGAACAGTATAAAATTTCTTGAAATGAATGTAAATGGAAATACAACACTCTCAAATCTATACTATACAGCAAAAGCAGTACTAAGAAGGAAGTTCGTAGCAATAAACACCTGTATCAAAAAAGTAGAAAGACTTCAAATAAACAACCTAACAGTGAACCTCAAAGAACTAGAAAAGCAGAAACAAATGGAACCTAAAATAGTAGAAGGAAAGAGATAATAAAGATCAGAGCAAAAATAAACAAAACTGAGATTTAAAAAACCAGATCAATGAAACAAAAAGCTGGTGTTTTTAGAAGACAAAGAAAATCAACAAACCATTAGCTAGACTAAGAAATAAAAAGAAGGCCAAATAAATAAAATCAGAAATTGAAAAGGAGACATAATAACTGAGACCACACAAATAGACTCATTAGAGACTATTATGAAAAACTCTTTGCCAACAAATTGGAAAACCTA